GGAGTAGCCACTCAGCAAGCCTTTTCAACCAAAGAATAAGAAACACTAAGAGTGGGAGTGTTCTGCCAATTCCCCTCTATTATCATATTTCTATAGCTTGATATTAGTTGTAACCGTTTCTAGCCTCTTTTTTTTAATCCAAATTTTACTCTCTTAAGAAAGGATGAACACAACTTGTTTGATCATTGTTTTTCAATGCCAGATGTAAAACCTCTGCCACGAGCCAAAGATTTTCAGGCCTCCATAATGCAATAAAACAGGAAGCAGCTATTGACTGAGATATTAAGCTCTGTTTAGCTAGTATAGTGATGCAGAACAGTAGTGGGTTTCAATTTCGGTCTAGCGGTTCGCTCACACGCACGCTGCTTCTGCACATGCGCAGAGACTTCTGGGCAGGTGGGCGGAGCCTCCTGCCGCCGCCACTAGCGGTTCGCCAGACACAGGACAAACCAGTAGCAACCCACCACTGATGCAGAATCACCAGAGCAGTAAGCATATGATGAATATTGTCTGTTACAACCCAAGGTTAAATAAGTCAATCCATGCTGCTGTTTTCCATAAGATTTCCCAAAATATTAACAGCATTGTTTTTCAAATACTTTTAATTCACTATAGAAAATTTGAACTATTGTGCTAGTGCACCCCAACTAACATGGCCAAAAAACAGGGATTGTAAAGTTGGAAAGATGGCGAACGAAAGGTGGCTTATCGGTGATCTATAGTCTAGAGATACTGAAAGTGTTGAATGTGGATGGCAATTTAAAGGGTGGTGTTCATTCTTCCACTTTTCTCATTATATAACTATAATTGAGCAAGTACCAAGAACAGCATGGTATGATAGAAAGGCTACTTACCACTGAAGGAAATAAAAACCTTTGGTCCATTTGAAACCCTATGAAAATATGTGTATTGACTTCTGTCCCTCTTCGGAAAGGAGCATCAAACATACTTGTATAAAGATGAAATTAAATGTGTAATTTAAGTTTAACAGAGTCGACAGTTTTAGGGACTTTAAAACTTTAAAGTACAGATTTGATCCTGAAAAAGAGTGAGAGATGAGAAGTTTAAAGAACTAAAGGCCACGTATGGTGGAAGCAAACATAGTTGCAAAGACAGAAAGATTTGGAAAAAGATAATGGATTACCTTGCTGAAGGTTAGTTTTAGGTATGTTTCTTATCACATTCATTATTTTCACGTACTATTTCATGCTTCTTTTCTGTGCCTTTATACTGTTGCTTATCCCAAAATGGAATAGCATATGTGTATGGATATACATATATGTATGTATTTATTTAAATGTAAGTAACATTTTAAATAAAATGTATTTCAGACCATATGCCTTTACGAAATACTGGTACTATATGCTAACTGAATAAGCACATTTCTTCTGATATGATGAGACCTTTGCCCAAATAAATAATCGTGCACTATTAGCTCATGGAGATATGTTTTAAATAACTAATATATATGGAATTCAGTGCCTTCTGTTGAAATGGGACCCTGTAGTGCAGTCGGCTCTGTTGATTACGTACCTGTCTCCCAGCTGCGTGTCTTCAGTCCTGCCCACGCTACTCGAAGTCTTAGCCAAACTGATGGTTGAGCTCCCCAACCAGATGGTTGTGGAAGATTTTAATCTCCCGTCAGCTGGTGAGACATCTGAGTTGGTTCGGGAGTTCATGGCCTCCATGACGGCTATGGATCTGACTCAAGTTATACAGGGCCCAACTCACAGTGGTGGACACACACACTCCACCTGATTTTCATCTCTGGGCAGTGGATAAATGCTCGGGATAGGGGTGAACTCTCTGTGCTACCCCTGTCATGGACCGACCATTCCCTCCTTCAGCTATACTTTCCACCCGCCAATCCCCACTGCTGGGCGGCGGAACTGACTTGTAGGTTCCGCCCCAGGTGCCTGATGGACCCTGATAAGTTCCTGACGGAGCTTGGGACATTTCCCACTGACCTATCCCGCGGTTCGCCAGAGGCCCTGGTGGATGCTTGGGAACGGGCAGCCACTGAGGCACTGGATCGACTCACCCCCTTGCGGCCTCTCTTCCGACAGGGATCCCGGGCAGCTCCATGGTTCTCCGTGGAGCTTAGGGAAATGAAGCGTCAGAAGAGATGCCTAGAGGGCCGTTGGAGGTCTTCCCGTTCCGAATCTGATCGAACACAACTAAGAACCCATATTAGGTCTTATCTTGTGGCGATGGAAGTGGCGAAACGTGACTATTTCGCTGCTCTCATTGCATCTGCAGAAAATCGCCCAGCAGCCTTGTTCCAAGTGACCCACTCCCTTCTTCATCAGGGAGCGAGGGAGGACCCCTTGAAAGGCAGTGCTGAGGATTTTGCTCAATTTCTGCAAGACAAAATCACTCAGATCCGGATGGGTTTAGACTCTAACTGGGCAGGATCCGACGAGGAGATGGGAGCAGATCTTGGAGGTAACATTTGGGTTGACTTTGATCCTGTTTCTATGGAGGAAGTGGACAGGATTGTGAGGAGACTGGGGGCCTCCACATGTTTACTGGACCTTTGTCCCTCCTGGCTTGTTGCAGCAACCAGAGAGGTGACTGGAGATTGGATCCGGGCGATTATCAATGCTGCATTGAGAAATGGGGTCTTCCCCGCCCTACTTAAGGAGGCGGTGGTTTGCCCCCTCCTCAAGAAGCCTGCCCTGGATCCAGCCTCCCTAAACAACTTTCATCCTGTCTCCAACCTTTGCTTTATAGCGAAGGTTGTTGAGTCTGTGGTGGCGTACCAACTCCCACAATTCCTGAAGGAAACTGATTATCTAGACCCATACCAATCAGGCTTCAGGCGCGGACACAGCACGGAAACGGCATTGGTCGTCCTGGTGAATGATCTCTGGCGGGCCCAGGATGGGGGTTATTCCTCCATCCTGGTGCTACTTGACCTCTCAGCCGCTTTTGATACCATCGACCATGGTATCTTACTGTGATGACTCGGGGGGCTAGGGGTGGGGGCACTGTTCTACAGTGGTTCTCCTCCTACCTCTCGGGCCGCAGTTTGTCTGGGTGGGGGGTCAGAGATCCTCCCCGAGGCTCCTCACTTGTGGGGTGCTACAGGGGTCGGTTCTCTCCCCCCTGCTCTTTAACATCTACATGAAGCCGCTGGGTGAGATCATTCATAGTTTCGGGGTGAGGTATCATCAGTATGCTGATGATACCCAACTTTACATCTCCACCCTGGATCAATCCAGGGATGCCCTTTCCATGTTGTCTAAGTGCCTAGAGGTGGTGCGGGTCTGGATGGGTAGGAACAGGCTCAGACTCAACCCCTCCAAGACAGAATGGCTGTGGGTGCCGGCATCTCATGATCTAGTATCCCCATCGCTTCTGATGGGAGGGAAGCGTCTGGCTCCCCTCCCATCGTAACCTTGGCGTCCTCCTGGATTCACGGCTGTCCTTGGTGGACCATCTGATGGCCCTGACAAGGGGGGCTTTTGCACAGGTTCGCCTGGTGCGCCAGTTGCGCCCTTTCCTAGACAGGGATGCCCTCCGTACGGTCACTCATGCTCTCATTATTTTTTGGTTGGATTACTGCAATGCCCTCTACATGGGGCTGCCCTTGTGGTGCACCTGGAGGCTCCAACTGGTCCAGAATGCGGCCGCACGGGTAGTTACAGGTGCTTCCCGTTACTCCCATATAACACCATTGTTGCGCGAGCTGCACTGGTTGCCGGTGGTCACTCCAGATCCGCTTCAAGATGCTAGTGCTCACCTATAAAGCCCTTCATGGCATGGGCCGGGGTACTTGCAGGACTACCTCCTACCGGCCTCCCACCGCCCAGTGCGCTCACATAGGACTGACCTCCTCCGGGTCCCATCGACCAGACAGTGTTGGCTGGCGGCCCACAGGATGAGGGCGTTCTCTGTGGTCGCACTGATTCTGTGGAATGGTTTACCCACTGGGCTCCGGACAGCCCCCGACCTCCGCACCTTCCGCGCCGACCTAAAGACATGGCTCTTTCAGCAAATTCCCTGATCTGTTGTGCATTTTAATTTGGGGCATTTGGGGTTTTAAATCAGATTTTAACATTTTAATTCTATTTATTGTTGGGTTGTTTTATTCTGTGAGCCACCCCGAGTCCCTCGGGAAAAGGGCGGCATATAAATATGACAATCAATTAATTAATTAATTAATTCTACTGAGATAAATACAAGTAATACATAAATTCTTGTCTATCACTTATTTATCCTTATCCAATAAATGTTTTACTTTCCCTAAAAACCATGTTACCAAAACTCATAAACACATGGCCCATAGCAATTATCAAAGGAAGGTTGATGAGATTTGCCACTGAATCTATGTTGTGAGCCTTCTAATTAAAATTGGAATGTTTTTATAAATGCAGATACTAATATATGTGGGGGGTTTTCTGCATGTGGAACATCCCCATTTTCTTCTGGAATGTTCCTTTCTCTGGTCAAGCCAGAATCAACATAAGGAATTCTACCAAAAGAAAAAAACATAGGAATTTTTGTGTATATCTGTAAAAGGATTCTTGGAAACTTGCTTTATTAGCTGGTCAACAGATGTTGTTTAGTTACTAAACATCTTTAATTGCCCTCCTTTTTTTAAGTGAAATTTTTTCTACAAAATGAGTTCCTGTTTTAAAATTTACAGTGTATATAACATGATGAAAAATTTCTAAGTACACAGAAACCTGTGTGAAGTTCCATCCTGAGAATGTATTAATACTTTCAGTTGACTTCCAGAAAGCCTGCCTGTTAATTCTATTAAATTTAACATCAGCCCCCACACATTCTTCTAATTCCGGTTTAGCCAAGCTTGGTAGCGCTTTCTTTTTCAGGTTTGTAAAAATGTGTGCAATCTTTTCTTCCATTACTTAACTGTTAATAATTGGAGGAAACTGACCAACTTAAATGGAGTAGGGAGTGCGTTAGCAGTTGCCACAGAAACTGCAATCCAATATAAATATCTTACTGCTCGTCTATTTATCATCTGTTTTCAGGGCAGTTTAAGCTGCTGGAACAAGACCGCGATATTAAGGAGCCAGTGCAGTATTTTAACAGTGTGGAGGAGGTGGCTAAAGCATTTCCTGAACGAGTTTACGTCATGGAGGAAATAACATTCAACGTTAAGGTAGCCCCTAAACAAATGTTTATCCCAACTTAAATGGTTTATGGTTAAGCCATTTTTTAAACATTGCAATTGAGCAATATATTGTACAAAAAAATAATTTGGGATTGTTGTTTTCTCTTAATCTGTTTGTGTACATTTTGCTTAATCTGAATTTGAGGGTTATTAATCTTGCAAGATATGAAGACCTTTTCAAGGAGGGAATGATCTCCAATCAACAATGTTCTTTTGCAGTGTTCAACTAGAATATTGCTTCAAAATGTTAGACAGAACTTCTTCTGTTGTACACCCCCTCCGTCACCTCTGACCCCTTAGATTTTATTTGGTAAAGGAGCAGCTGTTTCACTCACTCTACACTATGTCTTAGGTCACATAAAGACAATATATATTGTAATGGTTAGTAATATCTACTTTTCAATTCAGATGACTGAGAATAATCAAATATTTCTAGAAAAGTAAAATAATAATGCATTGATTTTAAATCTATAGGGATTCAAAGAAAAATAAAATGATGTATATAGAAACAAAAAATGCTCCTTTAGGTTTAGGTGCAAAATGTGAAATAAGACAACTACTCACAAATTAATGGTTGCAGTTTATACAGACTGCGGCCCTTTCTACTACAAGTCTTGTAGGACGGAATGATCTTAGTAATTTAACAGACTTCAGTGATTTCCCTAGAGAGAAACAGAGAAAAATCTAATTCCCAAGCATAATGGAGATTTTAGAAACATAAAACATTATTTTATTAATTTATTTTAACAACTAATATAACTGGCTGTTTCATAAAAGACTTAGCAACTTTTTTATGCTATATAAAATACTAGAACAGATTTAAAAACTTAATAACAATATCTTTAAGATTATACATATAACTGGAGTTACAAAATCAGCTATGAATTCAATGCTATTAAAATATATGCAATTGGTATACTGTTCTACCAATTTGTTATACCAAAAACTATATATAATGCTAAAATATGACTAAGCGGCTATAAGCATGGATGGCTAATACAGAATGTAAAATCAGTAAATCACTTAATTCTACAAATATTTCCAAACCGAATATTAATACTGTAAGAATAATGGCACAAAAATTTAGGGAAAATGGGATGGCAGGGAATGCAGAGATTAAAACATAAAAGTAACCAAAAAAAAAAAAACCCTCAAGTGAGTGTAGGGGTGTTGCCTTAATTGTTCTAATAGCTCCAGTGTCTAAAGTGTGAGATTTATGGCAAATAAGTCTAACAAACTGTATGGAATAACATACAATTAGCATCTAACTACATAATGAGCAAAGTATTTCTTGGAAATCACAGAGATGATCTTTTTGTTTCACATCATCATTTTTCTGCTTGGAGAAATTTTGTCTCTACGTTCAAAGATCTGCTTAAGTGTCAAAATTCATAGTTCTTGAAAGGCAGATTCTCCAGAAATTGTCTCAAATTATTTCTAAACCAGTTTTTTAAAAAAAAATAAAACAGCCATAAGCCAGCTGAGCACTGACTTCTAGAACACTATGGTGTTCTAGTAAAATGGATTTAAATTACAGTAGCATTGGTTGAATCAGGTGGAGAATTTTGAGTCTGTTGTTTTGAAGATATTTAAAAAGTCTTGATCAAGATTAGAGACCAAAACGTAAGACATTACTGTTGATGTTGATTTAACATTACTGTGTTAAAAAGAATAAGTGTAAAGTTAACCTAAGTAGAACTTATTATACTGAATTGGGTAAACAGTGATTATGGGTTTTGCATCTCATTCTGATTTTTAGCCAAAATAGTTTACAGTGCTACAGTGACAGTAAAAATAACAAGTTAAATCACAATTAAAACGTCTTAAGTTAGCATGAAGTAAACATGAAAAATGCTGATTGTTAATCTTTTTGTCTATTATTAGTTGATAATTCACTGAATTATCCTGAACTGCAGCACTGCCTGAACTTTTTTTTATTCTTTCTGAAAATATTTGACTTATCATTTAAGCTTCATACCAGCATAGTCATATGTTTCTCTTGGTTTGAGTCTCCTGTGAATTGCAGAAAACCTCTTTGGTTCAGTAATGATGATAGCAAATGTACACGTACAGTACTAAATGAATCCTCCATGCTCTCCAACTTGGTTAGTAAAAGAAGGCTTTGTATGAAAGCTCCAGTTCAGTTTCTACTGCTTAAAAACAATAGAGTTTCTAATTAAGGGATAATGGGTTTTTCATATTTGGACATGCTTTCCAGGAAGCTATGTAGACCAGGATGCAGGAGCGACATTGCTTCAAGCTTGTGAGGTCTATGTATCTTCTTACTAGACTCTCAAGTTCCACCAACCAGGATCAGTACAACAATTACATTTAGAATGAAAAACCTAGGAGCCTAATAATTTGTTCTGAATACAGTATTTCATTGAATGGAGCTCATTATTCATGCATATAAAAATTCATTCCTGGTTCCCTAGACTTCCTTTTATTCAGCTGCATAGTTTGAGATAGCAAAGGAGCTATTTTATCATTTCTATTATTAAGCAGTTGGGAGTCTGAAATCCTTCACCATTGTACTAAAAATAGCCTAATATTCTAACAGTAGATTCCAATCTACTTTCTGGAACATTATCAAATCTGTTTAATATTCAATCATTTATTCCAAAATTATTTAAGAATCTTTGCAAAATAGATAAAAATGATTAATTTGATAAATAGAATGCCCAAAGAACTCTGACCTGAAATCATATCATTAAGATTAAGCATACACACATACACACACAAATGTAAAAGAAGAAATGAAATAGCTGAAATAGCTGAAGTAAGGCAAATAGTACAATGTAACACCAAAAGAATGTGCCCAACTAAACACACTAAGTCATCCTGAGAATCACTGATGGTGTTTGGAAGCTGAAGAAACAGAGAGTTAACCTTCTTTAGCTAGCACATTACTCCATTTTGAACAGATGTAGTGATTCTAAAAATGCTTGCTTATATATGACTGACTAAGAATCAAAAGAGCAAAGGATATATATGAAAGTAACATTACTGGAACAGATACCCTGTTTCCCCCAAAATAAGACATCCCCTGATAATAAGCCCAATCGGGCCTTTGAGCGCATGGCAATAAGGCCAAACGCTTATTTCAGGGTTCAAAAAAATATAAGACAGGGTTTTATTTTCGGGGAAACACGGTAGCAAGTCCTTGCAAGAAGATAGTATTTAGAATTATCTATAGAGAATGTCAGGATATTAGCTACATGAAAAAGAAGTCAACTGATGAGAGAATCAAGTTTTCCCAGCAAGTTCATGAATTTCATGGATGATACTTGGATGCTATATAAAGTATACTGAAGTCTTTCTTACCTGTGGGAAGATAAAGATAAAGAAGTGGATGAAGGAGCATAGGTGAAAAAGACTACTCATACAAAGAAGATACCATACTTAAAGCAGACTTACAGAACTGTTCTAAGCGGCAGAAGAAGTTGGGGATAGGATCTGGAATATGGGAGAGGCCTCTCCACAAAGAATTTGGCACTGCTTTAAGTACAGATGATGAAAGATACCTCAAAATTACCTTGTACGTTTAAAAAAAGAAAGTATAATTCCCCTACTTCTCTGCACAGTATTTGTTTTCTTGAAAGATTAATGTTAGCTTGAATTCATGTGTGACTCATGTTTGTCTTGCCGTGGATCTTTTTGGAGTTAACTCTCAAATCCACTCACAGACAAATTGTTTTAAATTCCTAGATGTAGTCCAGCAATATCTGGAGAGTCACAGTCTTTTCATACTTGCTTTTCTATAAATGTCCAAATCAAAAGCTAGACAGTAGGAAATATGGACTTGAATAATATTACAGCATCATTTGAGTTAATGAGAAAATCCATTATGCTTCATTTTACTGAAAGGAAGAGAGTGCAAGTTATACAATGGCATTGCTGCCAAAAGAGCCTAAGAAGATCACTTCAGTATTCTAATTTAGAAGATAATTCTTCAACATGTTTCTGCTCCAGTTAAAGCAAATGCAATCTCATATAATAGTTAACTTAAACTTTCAAGTCCCTAGAGGTAATACCTTCAATTAACTAAACCATTATTTTATTGCCACAAACTTCCAAAACAGCAAAGGGCCGCAATCTTAGTTCATTATTGAACTCTTTTACTAAACATTTTTAGAAGCTGTCCAATATGGCAAGAAAAGTATTATTTTGGGGACAAGAGTTTTGTGTGGATCATACACACCAAGAATTGCTGTTTGCTTTTGATTATTAAAGTGATCTGCCTCCTTTTCAGAAAAGTTCTTATCACTTATTTTCATCAAAATTAAAAGTAGATAATTTCACTGTTTTTTAAAAAAATAATGTAATGTTTTGCAGGGAACGTTTTATAAAATAAAATACACATATTTGCTCTTCCATAGCGATGATAACATACATAGGGTGCCCCATCTGATATGCAGATGGTTCTCAAAGAAGTGACATCAGAATAAAAATCTTAAATGGGGGCAGTGAAAAGTATAGAGCTGAGGACTGTGATCTTAATTGATAAGAAATCTGATGGCTGTTAATATTCCTGATGAATTATAATGTTTTACCTTTGGGCAAAAGCATGACTTGAACAAGTCATGTTCAATTAGATTTTTATTGTTTCCTGGATTAGCTGTATTGAGGTATCACATCACTGGAATAACTTCCTCTCAGGAAATTCTGCAACTGTGGTGTTAGCTTGATAAACTGTACATAACAAAGAGTTCAGTTTGAAACATTATTTCCTTTCCAATGTTCACATTAAGGCGGATACTTTGCTAAACATACTACTGATTACTTTTTGTGATTTCGTATTTTTATACAAAAAAAAGTAAATAATAAATTAAGGTAGCAATGTTAAACCATTTATCTGGAGTAAAATCCCAGTGGGTCTTTCTTCTGAATAAGTTTATGAATAGGATTCCATTATATGTTTCCTTATTTTGTTTATTAGGTCATTATATAGGTCAGTTTTAATTCTACCCGCTGATGCTGTAAAATTTTGAATAGGGTTTGCACCTTATCTGTCAAGACTCTCCATTTACTGTAAATGGGGCAGAGGATCTTCCTCTGAATGTGACTAGGGTGCTCCCCAGCAGACACCAGACCGGATCATATTGTAACTAGCTGCCATCTGAGAGCTTATATACAAGGACAAGTAGACCTTTTGCAATTAACAAATACCAAGCTTAATTGGAAAAATGACCTAGATATTAATATATAGAACACTAATTTTATCTTTATGAACCAATGCATTTTAAAATGCAATTTGTAATTTAATATATAACTTCTTGAATTTCTTATACCTTACAAAATTGATCATACATCTCCACTTATGTGTATCACACCATTGTGTTCTTTCTATACAACTTTACTACTGCAATCCATATCTTTCATGCCATACACTACATACACACAAACACACACATGCACGCACATTTAGGTCCAGTGAATGTTAAGATTCAGAAATTATTTTTCAAAAGAAAGGGATATATGATGCTGCTTTCAGTGTCCTAAAGTCATAATCAAAAGGCTGTAGACCTTCTTAGATTCTGTCGAAGGAATTGCCATTACATATGGTGTATACGTGAATATTGAAGATGCCCAGGCATGCCTGTTACATTTGTTCCACTTTTGCATTCCCTTTGTGCAATTTGCAGTGTGAGTGAAAGAGGTTGTTCTTTCTCAGGCTGATCTTTAGATTGCACTCTTAGGTTATACATAACTCAGTTACAGAAATGTATATGTGGTAAAATAACTGTCTGTTTTTAAAAGCTGGTACATGTATCTGCAGAATTATGGCATGCCCTTACTTCACAGATTAAATTTTAGCATTTGCTAACTTTTGTTTTTATTAACATTGCAGATCAGAATGAAAAATCTTAATTTTTATTCTTAGTTGCAAATATGAACTGTGATGATATAGATTAGGCAATCTAATTTGAGTACTAGGCATTATTTACTTTTGATCACGTAAGATTCATACTTCACAGAGTTTGCCAGCTGGCTATTTTCATGAAATAAGAAGCAATTATCTCTGGATGATCAGCCACACAGTAAATTGTTTGGCCAACATTTTTATCACTCTAGTTGTGCTCTGTTTTCTAAGCAGGGAAACAAAAATAGTCTCTATAGAAATCTAGTCATTGATGGGATTTGTAGAACATATTAGTATTTAATTTCAGGAAGGAGAGGGAGAGGGAGATTTATTTATGTCAAGAGTTAGAGTTATGTTGCTCACCAGATGCTATAGTCCATAATTTCTGCAATTTAAATTCACTAGCCTTGCTGGCTGGGGCTATTGATAACTGAAAATTCAAATTTCTAGATATTCATATTCATGCTTTCTTTCCTTTTTTTTTTTTTTGAATACAGAAGAGAGAGTGAAAGGGGGGAAGGAATAACTCTACTGCTACAAATTACAGGCAGCCAAATATAGCATTAAACTATAGTAGAATAGCAAAGTATCTATAATAACACCTCAGTGCTCATGAGCAAGCCTAATTGTATAAGGTTGAAGGTTCCTATATAATTTAAACATTTGATGTTCTTAAGTTTTGTGGCATAGAGGGATTACTTATTTTTGTCTGATAAATTCTTAATATTATGTTACTCTTGATAAACAGTTTCTTTAACAAAAGAAGGTAGGGTGATCAGTCATGTGGACATTTTAGAGCAGTCTTTCTCACTTTGATATTATTCATGCACTGAATGTATGGCTGTTATAGTCTAATATATAGAATACCAGGCAGAAGAATTTGGACAATTCTGATGTTCATATTTGTTGGGTTCATCTTCTAAGTTTAGAGCTTGATATGCTATTTTAATTTTGAATGTTGTATTTTCTAGGTGGCTTCAGGTGAATGCAATGAAGATACAGAAGTTTATAATATTACCCTTTGCACAGGAGATGAGCTCACATTAATGGGACAAGCAGAAATCCTATATGCAAAATCTTCAAAGGAAAAATCACGGCTCAATACCATCTTCAAGAAAATTGGAAAACTCAATTCCATTAGCAAATTGGGCAAAGGCAAAATGCCTTGCTTGATTTGCATGAACCATCGGACCAATGAGAGTATTAGCCTGCCTTTTCAGTGTAAAGGAAGATTTAGCACACGTAGTCCCTTAGAGCTGCAAATGCAAGAAGGGGAGCATACCATTCGAAACATCGTGGAAAAGACACGGCTCCCAGTAAATGTGAATGTGCCAAGCCCTCCCCCACGGAATCCTTATGACTTGCATTTTGTCCGTGAAGGACACCGTTACAAGTTTGTTAATATTCAAACCAAGACAGTTGTGGTTTGCTGCGCACTACATAGTAATAAAATTATTCCAATGCACTTTCCTTTGCATTTAGCTCTTCCAAAGTTTACCCTTCCAGAAAGTCTTGTGAAAGGAGAAGCGTGGCATGAAGCCTTTGTGAAGCACTGGTTCAGCCTCTGCCAAGAGCAGTTCGATATTGATGAATATTCTCGTGCTGTGAGAGATGTAAAAGCTGACTGGAATGAAGACTGCAAAAGCCCACAAAAAAGTCGACCCACCAGCCACAACCATGTGCCAAACTCGCTCAGTTATGCTCGGGATGAGTTGACCCAGTCTTTCCACCGTCTCTCTGTATGTGTCTATGGAAACAACCTCCATGGAAATAGTGAGGTGAACCTTCACGATTGCAGAGACTTGTGTAACGAGTGGGCTTTATCTTCTCATGATGCGTTGCAAGATTCTAGGGATGGGAGCTGTAACTACCTTTTTCCTGAAATTAGTGAAGAAACAGTCTGTTTACCTCCTAAACTGGAACTTCCATATGAAGAACTATGGTTGGACAAAGGGGGTGGGAAAGTGAATGATCAGCCTCTTACTCGCTCACAGAGCGAAAAGAACAAATGTGACAACTACAGGAGTTCTTTCCGGTCCAAGGGTGGTACAGCTTCTCTGCCAGCACCTGGATCTTCAGTAGCAACAGCAAAATCCTCAGATGTTTCCTTACCTCCACCACCTGTGCCTCCTAAATCAGAAGCGGTAAGTTCCTAGCATTTTGCTTAATTCCCAAGATGGGTAAAGTTCCTACCAATCAGTGGTGGGTTGCGGCTCCGCCCACCCACCACGATGTCATCACTGGTGATCTGCGCATGCGCAGAAGAGTGCACGTGCAAGTGAGCAAAGTGAGCATGCACCCGCGCTCCCATTGCGAACCGGTAGTAAAGGTAAGTAGAACCCACCCCCTGCTACCAATATATATGGAACCCTCATTTTTCATAAGGGGTGAAGTAATCTGGATAGGATTGCGCCCAGTTGGCCTCTCTTAACCCGTCAATCTTGTCATTCCCCATGGTTTATGGAGGAACTGAGAGAGATGAAGCGAACCAAGAGATGCTGGCAGAAGACAAATGAACTTGACCAAACATGGGTAAGAGCTGCTATTCAAGCCTACTTTGTGGTGATTTGTGCAGCGAAGTAGAAATATGTCTCAGCACAAATTGCCTCTGCATATAATTGTCCAGTGGTCCTCAGAATATGATTTCTGAAAAAGAATAAAAGTTTTAATTAGATCCACAGGGCTGAAGGCATGTTTATACTAGGTTTTAGTATATTTAGGACTTAAACAATAACACTGGGATTTTAAATTGGCTCCTAGAAACAGGAATGGAGGTAATGCAGGTGTCAAAACCTCAGTGTAATATGTCAAACTGCCCAGTTTTCATTAATAGTCTAACATTATTCTGTGGGTCAATTGAAGCTTCAGAACTGTTTTAAAGATAGTCCTATGTACAGCAAATCTAAACTGAATTTCATCTGAGCAAGACTGTTTCATCAGCCAGGAAGTTTCTGTTCTAGAATCAGGCCTGAAATCCGTCTGAAATGTATCTAGATATTTCATTTTTCCATCTGAAGGACCTAAATCAATTACTGTGTACTTTTAAATACTTTCTGAATTACTTCCTTTTCTTATGAAAGAAAACCTTGAAATGTCTTCGAAGGTAAAATTTTACAATTTCACAAAGAGTTGTAAATAGTTCGTTCATTTGCCACCAATAGCCTCCCACCGGCCAGTACGCTCGCACAGAGTGGGCCTCCTCAGGGTGCCGTCCGCCAGACAATGTCGGCTGACGACCCCCAGGGGGAGAGCCTTCTCTGTGGCGGCGCCCACCCTCTGGAACAACCTCCCCCCAGAGATACGTACAATAGCAGACCTCCGGATTTTTCGTCGGGCCCTGAAAACCCATTTATTTCAACTAGCGGGGCCGGCTTGAGTTAATTTTAAATTGATTTTAAATTGGGTTATTTTAATTTACGGCCAATAATATTTAATTATTTTAAATTGTTTTTAAATTTTGTATGTATTGTTTTTTATTCTGGCTGTTCACCGCCCTGAGTCCTATTCTGGAGAAGGGCGGTATAGAAATTTAAATAATAAATAATAAATAAATAATAGCATTTGTACTAGCATTTTTAACAAGTCGTTTTTCAGCAGCTACCATCTGCCCTCTGCTGGTTATTCACAAATAAAATGTAAAGTCCTCATTTTTAAAAAATCCAATTCTGGATCTGCTTTAAAAAAAAAAAAAGAATAGAAGGACAAAATCTTTTACATTTTCAGTACAAACATCATTATTTGGGTAACTTGGATTTGTTGAAAATGCAAATTACAGTCCATCAAAATCTCGGTGGACAATTAATTTATTTATTTTATCAGATGATAGATTCAAAGAGCACGCTAATTAAAGAAGTGCAGTACAGGAACACACAATTGTGTCCTCCAAAAGAAGAACTGGTTCTTGAAGGTCAGAATCAACAGCTGAGGGCTGCTGCTGATACTGCCATTCCCATTCTGCCTGATGGGAGGGTTGGCCTTGAAGGATTTTCTTTTCTTCTTTGTTCCATAACCTGGGATTCAGATCAGTTTCCCCTAATTTAGCAGTTATTCACCTAGATTCTCAATTTCTGCAAAGGTTACTGATCTGGTATGACCTTTACCCCCTAGGTCCATGTTGGTGAACCTATGGAATGCATGCCGGAAGCGGCACGCAGAACCATCCTGTGAGGGATGCGCGGTCTCGCTGGCTCCTCTTCCATGTTCCTGTGCACACACGCGCGCCGGTCAGCTGGCCATCGCAGCGCGGGATCACTGAAACCCAGAAGAGCAGCATTCCATCGTGCATGCGCGAGCTGGCACCTGAACTTCCAGGTTTACATTGCGCACATGCACGATTACCAGCTATTCGTCAGGCGGGCATCCATGCCGGAAACAGGCACAAAAGCATGCCTGTTCGGGGGCTGGCTTGCGCAAGTTCGGGTGCCGACTTGCACATGCGCGACAGAATGCTGCTCTTCCGGGTTTTGGTGTTCCCACACGTGCGAAGGCCACAAGGCCACACGATCCAGGTGGGATGGTTTTGCGTGCCATTTCCGGCACTCAGTCCGGCATGCGGTGACGTAAATGTTAGCCATCACTGCCCTAGGTAATGTTTCATAAGAGCCTGAAGACCTGGCTCTGCCAGATGGCTTGGGACCCAATGGAGGAACTACATAGCGGAGGTGGTTGACCTCCCATGTGTCTATGATTTTATCTATTGATGTTTTTATCTGCTGTTTTTTTACAATGGATGATTTTAATGTTTTTTTATGTTTGTATATTATCAACCGCCCAGAGTTGTTGGATATGAAATGGGCTGTAAATGAAATTTATAAATAAATAAATGTGGTGTCTAAGATGAGCTGCATATTCCATTTTTGCTTTAGAAACTCTAAGGGTCCTTAGATAAGTAATTATTCATTTATCCTTGTTTCATCCCTATTAATAATAATATTAGTTTTCAGGATACTTAATTACCTGCATGATGTGCTACATCACAATTGTGCATAATTTCAGGTCAGAGAGGAATGTAGACTCCTGAATGCTCCTCCTGTCCCACCACGCAATTCAAAGCCAACATCTACTAGCCCTTCTATTCCTCCACGGATGAGCAAACCTGTGCGGCAGCAAACTCGTTCTCCTAGTCCAACACTTTCATATTATTCATCAGGACTGCACAATATGTAAGTAGTGACTGTTTTCTTTTCAAAGTCAGTATTATTTTTATACTATTGGTATATGGTTCAAGTGTTGGGCTGAGAAAGCACAGGTGTAAATCCCAGTTGACGTTGGAGCTCATTATCTGTCAGCCTACGCTAGTTCATAGGATTGTTGCTGTGAAGAGAAGTAAACAGAGTTCTCCCCCTACACATTCACAAGTAGAAGAAAATTGGGGTAATAAATAATTAATAGAAAATGGATGGTTGCAATAACTGAATAATAAAGAATCAGAGAGTTGGAAGGGGCCATTAGACCATTGAATCCAGTTCTTTGTTCATATCCTCCCAAATCTATTTGTTAACAGAGTCATGCAAAATTTATATGATAAATATAAATAGATAAAACAATTGTAGCAATTATATATTCTGGCATCTTATATTGTCAATAAATTGTATTTCTCAGTTTATCCTAAAGTTAAAAATAATGATACGATTATTGTTGCCAATTTTTACTTTTAGAAGCCAGAAGATAGATTGGAATCTTATTTCTAGATCTTTGGATAATTTGTAATAAGGCAGCAAGATCAACAATCAAAATATCAAAGATGAATTTTTTTTGTAATGATGACACCCAAGCAATGTGGAGCCAGACATCGGTGCTTGTGTAACAGAACAAACGAGATCTGTAGGGTGAAACCTGTTCAACTTGTTTTGATTGATTAAAGAAAGATCGTATTAAAGAAAGTACAAAATTGAGATTTGTACTGATTAATTCACATATTAGTGGGTATTTTATGGTTATAAATATCAAAAAATACGCAAGAGCATAGTGATGGAAACCATATATTTTGTGAACTCCATTCTTGGTTTTGACACTGATAAGAATCACAAGCAGCAGCATTGAGAAAAAACTTCTGATTAAGATCTTGAACAAGAACAAGCAAGATTGAGTTGCATAGTTTGACAGTGTAAGTCAAAATCCTTTTTCCACTAGAGCTACATACAAGTATTCCTTGACATAGAACTGTAATGGACTCTCATCATTATGGTCATATGTCATAACAGCCGTAAAACAGATCAGACACACAATCATCCTGATTTTTATGATCTTTTTTTGCTGTAGTTTACCCTCATCAGTCACTCCCAAACTAAAATCTTCCAAATAGGGCTTGTGCCCTATTTCCCCCTGTAAAGAGAGGCTAATTTCTAATCCCTTTCCTTGTTTATTTTATTGTTCTATTATTTTGCTTTGTTTTTATTTCTTTTTTGTTATTGTTGTGAGCTACCTAAACTAGCCCCATGGTGAGATAGGTGGCAAATATACTTAATAATAATGATGATGATGATGATGATGATGATGATGATGATGATGATGATGCCTTGGGACGGACTCGATAGGTAGACAAAAATTCCTAATCTAGTCTGAATATCTGGCTGACTATGGAAAGAACCATAATCATAATATGTAGTGCCATGGACCTTAACAGCTTTATTGGCATGTGGAACTGTAATGAAAGCTATCTATTCAAGTATAGACTTTCACTTAAACAGAAATAGATGTAATTATAACCCCAGAGGGTGTAGTTAGTGGATTGCAAAAAATATGCAATCTAGTGGACAAGTTTGGATGATGATTACACTTTCTTTCTATGAAATGGATTGCATATTTGACATAAATATTTGCCCATCATATGCAACCTAATACTAATAAAAGGAAAATACTTGCCAGGAAAGTTGATGACTTCACTGGGAAAAGTTGTTAAATTTGTCCTGTCTGAAAAAATATCTATATAATGGAAACACTATATACTGTTTTCCATTAATCCGGTGCTATTTTATTTATAAAATAACAGAATTCTAAAGTGACTACTACTAACTACAAAAGCTATATACTAATTCTGTCTCTTCTTTTTAATTAACTCAAAGCAGTGCTACAGAAGAAGATGCTGAAAACTCTTCCGAGATTATTCCCGTTACTTGTTATCCATGTGGTATTGTGAAAAGTGACCTGCAAGAGCTTGACAACAAATTGCCTTTGGGAAGCCCTTCTGCTGATTCTTTGTTCTCTAGACTCTCATGGCCAAATCATTTTTCTGGAGCTGCTGAAGGCCTTTCTAGGAGTGAGTTTCTGTTGGATCCAAGCAGAAGTTATAGCTATCCAAGGCAGAAGACTCCCAACACGCCAAAGAGAAGCTGTCCAGCACCTTTTACATTCGATTTTGACAGAAATGAAGTCTCTGCAGGAGATGTACCACCAGCTACAATTGAGGCAGAATGCACCATGCCCAGTTGCCCAAAGTCAGCAAGTTACTCACTTGAATATACCGATGAAAAAAGTTTGGCAGTAAGCGGCACGTTGCAGTCACTTTCTTGCCCTGCCTTACCCCCTCGTGCACCAAAGATGGTGGAGGAGAAGCCAGGGCTTGACTTGTGTCCTGGGTCTCTCAGAATAGATGGTGCTGAGGAAGATCCTCACAGGAGCTCTCCAGACCTTTCTGAAGACCAGTATCTGGGTAAAAAAAGCATGCAAGACCTCTTCTCGGTTTCTTATTCTTTCTCATCACCCCTTCATCTTCAGTTAGCACCGAGATCTTGTGGTGATGGTTCACCATGGCAGCCACCTGTAGATCTGTCTGGGCTTTCCATTGAGGAAGTATCGAAGTCTCTACGATTTATAGGCTTGTCGGAGGATGTCATAACACTTTTTGTTACTGAAAAAATTGATGGCAACTTGCTTGTCCAGCTCAATGAAGAGATCCTTTCTGAGGACTTTAAACTCAGCAAACTACAAGTTAAAAAAATATTGCAATTTATTAATGGCTGGAGACCTAAAATGTAGTGCTGACCAGTTCAACAAAATGTAGAAGTATGCTAGAAGCCCTGAAACTAACTCACAATCTACCATTTTTAATTTTTTTATTGCACTAAGTCCTTCCTTCCTTCCTCCCTTCCTTCCTTCCTTCCTTCCTTCCTTCCTTCCTTCCTTCCTTCCTTCCTTCCTTCTGTAAGTAGTAGGAGAAAAACAGTTATTACTATGCAGATTATTTTGGGCGTTAAGCAAACACTTTTGTACATAATAGAAGGATAAAGGTGTGCCTTTTGCATCCCTGAACATTCAACAGCTGCTAAATAGTGGACATTAAAGGGAATTAATTTGTTCTCATGTAGTGTAATGAGACATATTTATTACTATGGGTTAGCAAAACTGGTGCACAAATCAGTTTATTATTATTATTGCATTTCCCTGTAATCTTTTTTTCTTCTTGAGTTCTTATTTTTATTCTAATAATAATAGTCGTTGCCTTCGATTTTTATTTGTTTAACAGAAAGTGTCAAATATTCCACCTTTGCACCTTGTTCTTGCTGTAGATTCATTTTTATAAAATTCCCAGGTTGTAATAAATAATGGATCCATATTTCAATGCAAAAAATAAACAAACCCCACCATAGGCTGGGCAGATAGATTCTTGCACCCAGCAGGGTTTTTTTTTTTTACATAGCATACCATTAATAAAAAGAAAGAAAAAGGTAAAGGTTTTTGATGTCTAGTAGGGACATGAGTTTAAGAATATACTATTTTAATAATTTGAAAAGTAATAACTCGGTGTCAACCAAGAGCAGCAAATAATTGCATTTAAAAGTTTTTGCAACCACTTTGCAAACTATTGAAATGTTTACATGTATTCTAAGCAAATATTGATGCCCTAATTTAATTTGGAATAATTGATAAAAGATTATTATCTCTATTGTTTATGTATAAAGTACATTTAAAATTAGAGTGGATGTTAGAGTGAATTTAAATGTCAATTGTAACTTCAGTTAAAAGAAGTGAGAAACTGGTAGAGTGATTCAATGATTTCTTCCTGATGATTCATATTCTTCTTTTGTCCTTAATATTCTTAAAAATGCATATAGTTAAGGAAGAAAAAAACCTGACCTATTAATCTAAATTAAAAGAATCCACATTCCAAAAACTAAACCTATCTAATCAAAATGAAACAGAATAATTTTCTTAAAGCATTTTTTTTTTGCTTACGAGAATAATAAATGTTTTGTTAAATTATGTATGTATATTATAAATTTCTTGTATATCTGACATGCATTTGTTTAAGTGGCAGTGGGGGTTAATCTGTTTACCCCTTAGTCAGTTTTGACTGTAACAGACTTTAAAATGGACAGACCTCAAGCTTTTGGGATTTATTTTAGAGAAATCCTGAGATCCAGCGTTGCTAGAGGACTTATACTAAATATATTATAATACTGTGCTTCTGAGCACGTGTTTAGTCCACTTTTTTTTCCCCTCTCCAAGTATTCTTTCTCAGGAACCTGTTATGGTAGAGGGCAGAGGAAGTTATTAAGCAATTGGAAACCAGAAACCCTTACCAATCAATGGCAGTTTAACCAAAGATCTACCAGTATATCTCAATCTACTTTTTGTTCACACCTATCATGTTCAGCAAAAACGCTAATATCTCTATAAGAGAAAATGGATCTAATGTACCACCACTCGTTCCTTTGCACATTTAAATATTAAACAGCAAGAATAAATGATTCCATGTATGTACTTTAAGCAAAAAGAACTGTACCCTCTCCCATATGGCCTTGTTGCAATATTTCTGAATGTGATATTTGCATTTGTTTTTCACCTGTTATTCTTGTATCAGGAAACTATAAGGCTTGTTGAAAACCTGATGGAAGACTGAATGCCATATATGAGAGGAAGAAGCTATGTTTTGGCCATTAGAAGAAAATCGTGACCTCTGATATATATTCTCACACACACAAAAACACACACACCAAACTTGGCAAACTCAAACAGTCGTAATTTAGCAAACTGTGTAAAGAAAGTGATTTGAAAGTGAATGCCTTTAAAATTAATGGATGTTGGAGCCCATTTGCAAAGAATGGAATGTTGGAATGAGCAGTCCAGCAATGCCATTTGATAGATTTTCAGAAAGGTTGGAGTAATTTGACCATATGCAGACAATCCTATAAATTTTTATGATACAATGTCTATCAGAAGTCATGCTTCAGCCCAGTGATGAAATCTAAAATTTGTTACTACTGGTTCTGTGGGCATGGCTTGGTGTGGGGAGGAGGGTAACGTGACTGGGTAGGCGTGGCCATTATTTTTTTTTACTTTTAAAACCATTTTTTCTACAACCTCTTCGGCGAAGAGATTGTAAAAAAATGCTTTCAAAAGACTCTGACGATCCCAGCTGAGTTGCCTGATCGGCAGAAGCTTTTTTAAAAAGCCTCTGCCGATCAGGCAACTCAGCTTGGATCGCCAGAGGCGATCTTTTCTTTTAAAAGCCTTTGATGATCCCAGCTGAGCCTCGCGATCATCAGAGGCTTTTTTTTTTACTTTTAAAAGCATTTTTTTGGCCAAAAAGGTTGTAGAAAAAATGCTTTTAAAAGTAAAAAAAAAAAAGCCTCTGATGATTGTGCGGCTCAGCTGGGCATGGGGGGGAGGTTGTCATGGATTTTTGGTACCGGTTCTCCGAACCACCCACCTCCATCGCTACCGGATCAGGTGATCCAGTCCGAACTGGGAGCATTTCACCCCTGCTTTAGCCCCAAAAGTGCTATGTACATGCAAGAAACAAATGGTCTGAAGCTTTACCCTATTTATTGTATTACATAATAGGATTATGCCAAGACAGGTAGTAGGAAATGACTAACCAGGGATCTTACACTAGCACAGGGGTGTAAACTTTATTTCATTGAGGGCCGCATCGGAGTTGTGTTGGACCTCGGGCTGGGATGGGCATGGCTAGCTCATTGTCACTCATGTTGGGGGTGTCTGTGGCAGCCCGAGTGCTCTGCTAACAAAAATGGCTCGTGAGCTCCGTTCTCAGCTGCAACGGCCTCTTGCAACCCTCTGCCAGTGAAAACAGAGCTGTTGAGGACCACATACAGCCCTCCTGAGTTCCATTTTCACTGGTAAAGCACCGTAGGCTGGTCCTTCGCTGTTTCCAGGGCAGATCCGTGGACCAGATCTGGCTCGCAGGCAGGGCCGGATTTTCCTATAGGCTAACTAGGCTTCAGCCTAGGGCCTCAAGATCAAGAGGGGCCTACATTCCCTACATTCAAATTGTTAGCAAAATTAAAATTACACTTTCACTATAGGTGAAAGGGCCTCATAAGTGGAATAGCCTAGGGCCTCTTTTCACCTAAATCCGGCTCTGCCCGCAGGCCTTGAGTTTAACACCCCTGCACTAGTACCATAAACTCAAATTGGGCTCTGGTGGTAGTAGGACCTGTAAAGGCCTGTGATGAGAAGAAACATGGTGAAAATGAAGGAAATCCAGAACAATGAGTACTGCAAATTTCTAGATCAAGGTTAGGGGCAGGAGGGAATGAAGACATATAGTCTGTTGCAGTAGGGAGAGACCACCAGGAACTAACCTAATAACTCTGTAATATCCAGGGACTGGAACTGCTAAATGTTCAATAAGTAAAGGTGACATGCTCTCGCAGTTGTGGTATAAATGGCAGAAGATAAAGCATATCATCTAGTATAATCCTAACATTCCTGACCACCAACATTGGAACTAGCTCAAAACCCTGAACAAGAAAAGAAGGAAAATTTTAAGGGAGAAACTGTATAACCCAGTTTGAAATAGCAGGATCTTCATTTTATCAATTCCTACCCTGGTACATTGCTCTTCCTTGCTCCTTTATCTTCCCCTCCAGAGGCTGAATTTGAGGTTTTAACTGTCCACTTCCCTGATATATTTAATAATACTAGTCAGTTGGAAGTATTCATAGTATTCATATGCATGGGGACTCTATGCATGGAATGGTGCTAATTCTTGAAACTCTGTCCATTTATACAAAGACTCTAGTAACTTCTAACTGGATAGTATGTCCAGAAGTTTGATGTCTGGAACAATGTGAGACCATGCACTTAAACAGATTACCATAACTTTCTTGTGCTACTATGCAAATACTTTGGAGGAGGAAGAATATTCTTGTTGATTTCCTCACAGAGTGGATCATTTAGACACCATCCAATATCTGCTTTCCTGTGCTTATTGGAAAAATGACTGTGATGAAAGCGATTAGCTGAAAGCACAACATGAAGAATTTGCTTTAGGCAGAGCTTTGAATATACTTCTTGCTATTGAATCCTATTGCAACGGATTAAGCAGGGGGAACACTTTATAATAGACCCTTAGACCTGAGTATGCAGTGTTATGCCACAGGACATCAAGTGGATTTCCTTATAGCAGAATGGAACCAGGGGTACTAATGCCAGCTATGTGTCTGCGTTGTCATTGATAATCAAATGCCTATATTACAATGCATTGTGTTGCAGAGTTTTAACGAAATCCCTCAGGGTTGTCCACCCAAGCAATGGCCCTTCAATCTATTCTAGAAATGCATTCTATCTTCCAAGAAGATTTTAGGGATGCATCAAAGAGAAAACTAAGATGCAGAACTCAGGAATCCACATGACCACTGTATAACAGCAAAGAGATTCAGAAATCTCCAACATGTGTTGCTGTCATATTTTGGCAGTCAGAGGCTTCAAGTCAGTGTTGGCAACTAACTGGACAATTCCCTACAGTTTTCTTGGGAAGATTTTCAGAAATAGTCTGCCATTGCCTTCTTTCTAGGACTGGGAGAGCGTGACTAGCCCAAAATCACCCAGCTGGCTAAGGCAGGACTAGAATTTGTGGGTTCCCAGTAGCCTGGTGCCTTAACTACTATGTTAAACTGGTTCTTATACTGCCACTTAGTCGTTACCTAACTTCTTGCAGCTCAGATCTAAATCAGTCCCTATGAAAGATAAATTTGTTTCATGAGATGAAATCCATTTGTGTAAAGCCGGATGTACAATCTTAATAATGTTTTCCAGGAAACAAACTTTTGAGTTATAAAATATTATGGACTTTGAGAAAATAATCAGAGCGAACATGGGAGACATTCTTCTAAGTAAGCATGCATATACTGTAATACAGAGAAAATGTCACACTGATAGTGATGAAAAAAGAAAAACCTCTCAATCTAATAGTTTTCTCCAATTTGCAGAATGTATCATATTCCATGTGTTTTGAAATTGGTCACAATGTCTAGAAATTTTTAAATCTAAGATGTTATAATATCTGGTTGACCCCTGGTAAAGAAGAATGCCTTAAAGAATGCCCCATGTACAATATACTTTTTACATATGTCACAATGCAAGTGATTCAGTAGAATTAGAAAGGGTGAATCAATTCAATGGCTAAAGTTATCCTGAAATAAAATAACAATGTATGATCTTATAGATTCTTATGTGACAGGTCTCACTCCTCAAAACTGCAGTATTATAAAAACCTCACTGTCACTTTCTCCCCATTCCCCTGTGTAGTATTTCAAACAATTTGTTTAAGGCACAGTGGAGAATAGTGATGCATTCATTCCTGAAGAGGCATGGATTCCTCTCCCATGGGATGCATGCTACCTGTTTAAAGACTTAATAGGTCTTTGATTAGTTTGATTAAAAGATAGCCTAGCATCACCCATTCCGGACCATAAAAATCTTGGGTCTTACCTAAATCATCCCAAAGATTTATTAGAAGTTTAAAATGAGCAAATTCATAATTTTACAGTTGCTCTATTAAGTTCAAAGCCTCTGGGAATTTAGATGATATGTAATTATTAAAAATGAGGAACAACAGTACCTAAAGTCAAAGAATAGGCTAAGCCTATCTAACTTCACGTTGGAATAAAGCACTGGCAACAGTATTTAGAAACTGTGACCGCATTGTAGCTACTTCCTAAAGAAAGATGAATGAATGGGGTTTAAGATGCCTCATGCATATATCCCTACTCGAAGTTATGTTATGTTTGGAGCAATTGCAATTTTCACATCAATTTCCAAAACTTATTTTTTTTAAATTAAAAATTAGTAGTCTAGATCGTAATTTATCTTTCAGTAGAAAGATGACACTAGAAGCATCCATGGCATCTCTCATTGATAAAATGAAGCTGAAAACAAAGTGGGATATAAAAGCCTTGCTAATATCTAGGACAGAAGTTTTTGTCTTAATTAGCAATGGGTTTAATTTGTGAATAAAGAAATTCATTGGGCTGGGTATAAAATTTTATTTGCACTGTATCAAAAGAGCTAGATTCCACATTACTATTCAGTTTCATGTTTGTAAGAAATGTTTCAGAACAAAATCAAAAAATGGACTCAGTAAGAATATTCATTGTTACATTTGTGAAATTTGTGCTGGTCTGTATAATTCCATTAAAATGTTAGGATGAGAAACATTTATTTAAACCAGGAGCAAAGAATTAATGCTATAACGTATATAAAGACATGTCAGTGTTGTAAGTATATTTGTTTATTAAAGATACTATTTTCATGATATTTATGCAGTTTATTCATTTGATGGAGTAGTTAAATTTATTGATTAGCCCATAGGCCATATCAAAATACTGAGTTCCAAAGACAAATTATTAATAAAATCCTACAAAAACAATTTAAAATAAAATTGAAGTAAAATACATAAAATGATTTGATATATAGGTAAGTAAAATAAGATAAAATTATATTT